TGCTACAAAGAATATATCTACTAAGTTCATGGATAATACAATATTTCTCTCAAATCACAATTAAGTACATAGTAATAATTATAGAAATAGAAAAAAGTTCATTTAACCCCCTCTCCCCCCCCCTTTCCCCCCCCCCCCCCCAACCAAATTAGACCTCAAAGTTTAGCCTCAATCTGAATTCTCCACATTTCCTTGTATCAATCGTATCATCAATCCGCATATAGTCGTCCGTCTAACAATCACATCAGTATAAAGTATAATCCGAGTAAAGCCCAGTACTTCCTCAGCACAACTTCAATCGTCTTCATCCCCACTTTGTCGTTATCTCTTCTGAAGGGATAATTTTTCACTGGTGAGCTTGTATCATCCAAAAATCATAGTAAAACCATGGGGTGAGTATAGGATGCTGTTAGGGTTGTAAGAGGTGAGTGTAAATCTAAATCATCAAATGAGTGAATTTATATAGGTTGCAAGTAAGGGCTATTATAATAAATAATAAAAGCAAGCTCTTTGGATTCCGTAACGGTCAAATGTAACTGCCACTTAAATAAAAACTACAATTGAAAATATAACTCTCATTTCAAGTATGCATGAATGCATGCACTAATGAGACTTTAAGTTGACACTTTGTTTGCAAATTGAAACGTATATTATTAGTTTGTCATATGTGCGTTTTAAGTGGAGGGGTTACAAAAAATAAAAGTTAATATTAATGGACAATTAATAGAAGAGTTATGTCATTATTAAGAAGGTATGCATGTAAGCATTTTAAGTTGACACTTTGTTTGCAAATTGAAACGTATATTATTAGTTTGTCATATGTGTATGCATTCAATTTTTAGCTATTATGTCAAATACAACTTACAATCTTAAATTTTTTTATGATAACATTAATATTGGATTAGTGGAGAGGTTATAAAAAATAGAAGTTAATAATAGTGGACAATTAATAGGAGAGTTATGCCATTATTAAGAATGTATGCAAATTTTCGCTATGCCGTTTTCTCAGCGCTCTGTCTCCAGATTTCACATGCCTTATTTTACAAGGTTAGGGACACATAAACCAACTTCTACAATAACAATTAGTATATGTATGTGTTTATATGTATGCAAATTTTTTAGGAAAAATTGCTTCTAGGCCCCAAATTTATATTTTCAATGTGCCCCAGCCCCCTTACTTTTTTTAATGTTCTTTAGCCCCTCCTTTTTGAAAAAATATGTCCAAGCCCCTCCATCACTCCTCCATCATGATTCCAGCTCATTTCAGCAGTTGATTAGACATGCCAGCTCATGATTAGACATATCAGCTGACTTAAATCCCGAATTTATCCTCATCTTTCTTATGTCAGTGGATGTTAACTCTTTTCTGTAACATGTTAACTCTTTTCTATAACATGTTAACTCTTTTTTGTAACATGTTAATTCTTTTCTGTAACATGTTAACTCTTTTCTGTAACATGTTAACTCTTTTCTGTAAAATGTTAACTTTTTTCTGTAATATGTTAACTCTTACAGATAACATGTTAATTCTTACAGGTAACATGTTAACTCTTACAGCTAACATGTTAGCTGTAAGAGTTAACATGTTGTAGAAAAAAGTTAATATTTTACAGAAAAGAGTTACCATGTTGCAGAAAAAAGTTAACATTTTACAGAAAAAGTTAACATGTTACAGAAAAGAGTTAACATGTTACAGAAAAGAGTTAATATTAATGTGCCCATGCGAAGTTCCTTGGGACGACGCCGGCGACGGAGCGGGGAAGAGGGCAAAGGGGGACCGAAGGAGGAGGAGGGAGGTGCAGCGGGGGAGAGAGACGGGGGGAGGGAGGCGGGGGAGGTGCAGCGGGGTAGGGAGGCGGTGAGGAGGAGGAGGGAGCTGTAGGGGGAGGGAGGCAGATTTATGCCATTATTAAGAATGTATGCATGTATATGTATGTGTTTATATGTATGCAAATTTTTTATGATAACATTAATATTGGATTAGTGGAGGGGTTACAAAAAATAAAAGTTAATATTAGTGGATAATTAATTGGAGAGTTATGCCATTATTAAGAATGTATGCATGTATATATGTGTTTATATGTATGCAAGTATGTGTTTTATGGATGCATGTATGTGGTTTGGAGAGCATTTTTAGAAGAAATGTTTTAACATACCAACACACTTTTATAATAGTACTAGTATAATGCACGTGCTTTGCACGTGGATATTTTATTATATTTAATATTATATTATTTAATAAATTATATATAACCATTAAAAATTACTTTATTGCACTATGATTAAATTTTTTTAACTTATACTAATATTAGTACTTATAATATTATTAACATACATTTAATAGGTATTTAAAATTTTTTATTATACTATTAAACAATTATTTAGGAGTATAATTATTAAATAATAATGTAATCATTAGTTTAAGTAACACTATTGATATAATTAAACCATTTAAATTATTAAATATTTATGTCATGTATATATTTTATTACAATATCTATTAAATAATGGAAATAATTTTTAATATTATATGACATTATGTTATAAAGAATATTACATTGTTTAATAATTAATATCATCTTAGTAATAAAAAATTGGATGGTATAAATTAAAAGTACTATTATTTAGAAAAATTATTTTATATAAAAATATTGGATACTTGAAATATATGAGACATTTACTTTCCAACAAAAAATGCATGACTCATAAATTGCTAAGATCCAATATTTTATTGCACTATGTTCATAATGTCCAATTTTTATATCTAAGACGATATTATAATATCGTAAAGGGTAATAATCGTTAAAAGTATTTTTAACTTATAAAATCCAAAATTTTATTACTAAGATGATATTAATTATCGAACAAGGTAATATTCTTTACAACATAAATAAATAACCCATATTTATACTATTATTAATAGTTATAATTATGTGCAATAATTTATTAAATGAATGGCTATTACTATTTTATATAATTAATAATTATTTATAATAAATTATCATATATTCATGAATTTTGTTATCATTATAAATTATTAATATATTCTAGTGAATAACCAAATAATTTGAGAAAATGAAAAGGTGCATAGTTAATGAGAGGTTATGGATCATTAGTTTTATCATTAATAGTATAATTTTGAGTTATTAAAAATTGAGGGGGTAAAAAAGGAAATCAAAAGTTTTGACATGTGTATTCTCTTTTATAAGTAGTATTAGATTAGATATTAGATAGTATTAGATAACTAGTCATCATTCATGTTTGCTCGTTTGCGTTGGAAATTCAGTTGTCATATAATTGAAACTCTAGCAAATCTGATTGTTTAATTTGATCGTCATCCACAAAAGAGCGTTCTGAAGAAAAATTATTAAATAAATTAGTGTTTGTTCAAGTGTTTTAGAATAAAACCAATAAATTTATATTGAGATTTAGCTTGTGCTTTCTGACTTTTCCACAAAACAATCTGAATACAAATACATAAATTGGCTCATTTATTTGACAAAAAAAAAAAAAAAAAGACTTGAAACAGAAGATTACCACGGTCTTTCTCCCTCTTGCCTAAGCTTATTGCTACTAACTAGACACATCTTAAAGTCTTTGAACCTATCAAACCCAAAAAGAAAATTTATCTTAAAGTTATTATTAAAAGTGGGATCCACTTAAGAAAACTTTGCAGGCGTCAGTTTATTTGAAAACTACGCAAGCCAACAAAAACAGCTATAATTTATAAAATTATCTTTAACAAATACACACGTAAATCACTATCGCCTAATTAATTGTCACAGCACGCGTTACATACTCTGATAATATCGTGGTCTCAAATTTGTAATCTCCCGTTTTCTACTAAATTTGGAAGTTCAAGTCCTAATCTCAACCTTGTAGCTAGAGCTGGGCATATTTGGTTCGGTTTGGTTTTATGCCCAATCCGCATCCAATCCGAATTTTTCGAATTCTCAAAAATCTCATCCAGATCCAGATTTTTTCCCCTTCATCTGAATATTCGGTCCAACCGAAATTCGGTTCGGTTCGGTTCGGTTTCGGTTTTGAATTTGCAAAGAGTTCTATCCAAAGACTTCTGTTGTGAATTCGCAAGCTGGGCATTGTCCTCATGATGAGGTTCCTGAGCTCGCCAACAAAGGTTTATTAGACTGATTATCATCTTTAGAATAAAGTTTTGAGTTGATATAATTACGCAAAGAACTGATGTTTTAAAGATGTTGTTCATATAATACAACATGCTTATCTCTTGTAAGTATCATGTACATAACGCATTTTGTGATTGATTTGAATCTTATGTAATTCTCAAAATCTTTTCTGCGGAATTTTTTAATTAAAGTTTAAGTTTATTTAATTACACAGGGGAGTGATGTTTTGTATGATATTGTTCATATAATGTAGCATATGCATCTTTTGTAAGTGCATCATGTGCATAACAAATTTTCTGGATTGATTTGAATCTTTACTTGGTTCTCAAGGATATTTTTCTGTGATATTGCTGTACTCATTGCTTGAAACTGCTCCTTGCGCCGTTTGAATCTATTGGATGATAACAGGAAAAGTTTTGAGGTATAAGTTTAGTCTATAAACCGCCCAACAGAATTAGGGTCGGTTTTGTATGGGCGGTTCAGGGGTTCAAACCGGATCCAAACCGATTTAATTCGGTTCGGGCGGTTTAGAGACTTCTTCAAACCGGATCCAAACCGATTTAATTCGGTTCGGGCGGTTTAGAGACTTCTTCTCATCCATTTAATTCGATTCGGTTAACCGGTCCGTTTTTTCGGTTGAACCGGTTTTTTTCGGTTTTTGCCCACCCCACTTGTAGCGGTCAAAAAGTCTCTCGGTCATCGTTAAACAAACTAGATTAGTCCGCAAAGCGAAAATTATGGTCCAAAAAACAATATATAATCCTCATCAGAGAGGACCAAACTCTAGTCCAGCGGACGTGAGACCCACCTCCAAACCAAATCCAACTAAATCCCTTTAAATACGAACGGTCTCCACTACCGAAGAACGCTCGCAGTTAACCCCACCGGCGGTGACCCGACTCGACCTCCAAACCAAAACTCTCAGTCCTCTAACCATTTTGGCGGAGCACCGGACTCCGGAACTCGAAAGCTTCGGATCTGTGCAAAATGCCTTTCTGGCAGAAGAGCGGCGCGTCAGCGTCGTCATCAACGGCGACGAACTCGCCAACGACGCTGAACCGGGATCGGAATCACGTGAGCGGTCACGTGAGCCAGGGCTCGGTCTCTTCGGTGGCGAAATCGCTGCTGCCCACTAGGAGAAGGTTGAAGCTTGATCCGCCGAATAAGCTCTATTTCCCTTGTAAGTGTTTACCCCCGGATTTTTGATCATATTAAGCAAAATGGGGACTTTAGCAAAGTTTTGATTTAGCTAGAATGGATATTTCAAAAAAGAACTTTGCTTTATTGTGAAGTATTTGCTTGAATTCAGTTCGTGCCTAATTCTACGCAGATCCCATTTTGATATTGTATTTGTTATGGTGTTCCCACTCGCTGACATATGATGTATTAATAATGAAAGCTGAAAGATATTTCAATGCATCTTGTTTCAATCAACTGGCTCGCCCAAGCCTTATAAAGAGTTTGACTTAGCCAACTCGTCAAGTCGACATTCCCTCGTGGCGACACGAAAGGCGGAGTTACTCGACACGAAAGGCCAAGGACAATTAGCCGAGGACCCACTCGACTACCCGTCCAACACCTTACGAAACCGACTCAAAAAACATTACTTCTCGACAAAGCTATCCACACTGACAACACGTCCAACTCGCATTTAATGCGTGTTAGGTGCATCATGCCTTTAGTCTCGATGTATTCATGACTCATCAAACCACGTGGGCTCTATAACGCCGCGATCACTTCTCATTTAATATCGAGGTGATCTACTTGCCAGTCGTCAGTCGACACCTGTAAAACAGAGGCTGACTTAGCTGCCAGCCCACACAATTCATCACCGTCCTACTGTACTCAGCTGAAGTGATAAGACTGCCCCTTATGCACTGAGTATAAATACAAGTATCATTCTAACGTAAAAGAGGTTGATAAATCGGATCTTTTAACACCAAAACTACACAATAAAGAAAATATCAGTTCTTTTTCTACCCAACTCAAGAACGAGTCATAAAGTCAAAGAAGAAAGCAGTCCCTCTTCAATACAAAACAAAATCGATCTTTTTCTGGATCCAACTAACTGTGTGATCTTAGTCATCAACAGTTTGGCGCCCACTGTGGGGCTACTTTTCTTTTTTGAGAAAACATACGAGGTTCTGAGCAAGGCTCTGACTAGTCTCGCCCTGTAGAACACCATAGTTATATTACCCGAGATCAACTCGAGCACACAACTCGCAAGCTTGCTTAATCCTTTCAAGAGCAACTTGACATCTTTGCTAGTGAAGTCCTTGGCCGACTTCCACAGCCACAACAAGTTTTATCGGCACGCCCCCCACCTACTGAAGATTAGAGATCAGAGACTCCTCATTCTAGAGCGTGACGAGAGATCCTAACTCGGACTCCTCACTCACTATTGTCAAACAATCAGGTCATATCGGGAGACCGGGCTCGCCACTCCATCGGGCAATTCGCCAAGGAGAGCCTTGCCGACGACTTTTCCCTCGACAGGAAAACACGGGTGAGAGTTCTGGTCCTAGCCATCCTAGAGACCGCAATAAAGGAGCCTTTAGAGCCCACCACTACCATCATGCATCTCTAACCTCCTCCGCCACCGTAAGGATCTCCGGTTATGATCGAGTGTACATACCGATCGTTGACGTCATCGGGGGAAAACCCCCCTCTCCGACGACATAATGGATTAGCCGTTCGAGAAGTTCAAAATGCTCTATTTAGGGACATATACAGGAGAATGAGACCCTTCCGAGCATGTTTAAAACTATTATGACATAATGAGCATGCTCCCAGTTTTGAAAGTGACCCTCTGTCAATGCTTTCCGATCACTCTCACGGGGAGTGCTAAACTATAGTGAAACGCTCTTGAAAGGAAATCCATCAGCAGCTTCCGACAACTCAGTCGAAAGTTCATTCACCAGTCCACTTTCTGGCCGACACCAAACAGAAGTTCCCCCCACGTGTTGATTCAGATGGAGCAGTGGCCTGAGGAGAGCCTCCGAGCCTACTTTAAAAGATTTCAGGTGAAAATGATGGAGGTCAATGACCAAGGGAGTGCAGTTGTCGTGTCCGCACTCGTTGTCGGCTTGCAAAGTAATGAGTTAGCCGACTCGCTTGCCAAGAAGCTCGTCGATAACTATGAGCAGTTGATGGCCAAAGCACACATGTACATGGATATTGAGGATGCCCGCACCTATAAGGCATCAACAGACCTCTACTGCCATGGCTTTGACACCACTGAAGATTCAACCATTCCATTAATCCCGACAGCCGCACTTGTCTCGACGCCGATTTTCGAATTGGCGAGAGGTCTCCCTGCAAGGCAAGAGTGGCCTAAAGACCCCTAAGGTTTGACCCTCGTTCCAACCGGACCAATAGAAGGGATCGGCAGAGGGGCCAAGAGCCTAAAGCAAACCTCACCATTTTCGACACCTCCCTCACCAACGCTCTCGCTATGGTCCAGAGAGAGTGACACCTTAGGGAGCCAGCCCCTAGGATGATGTCGAACCCAAAGAACCGCGATACCCGGCAGTTTTGCCGATATCATTAGGATCACGGCCACCTCACCAACGACTGTCGCATTGAGGGATATTGAGGATTTAATAGAAATGGGGTATATGAAGAATCTTGCCTCTCGGAGGGATCGTCGGGAATCTGATCCGCCTCGAACCGACAGGAGATCCCGTTTGCGATCACTTCGTCCCCGATCGCAACAAGACAATCGACCCCCGGAGCCTAGCCATAAAGAGGTCATCAATACCATCAGTGGCGGTCCTACTGTTGGAGGATCATCTAACAACAACCGGAAGAAATATGTCAAGAGGGCGTTGCGAGTCGACGAAGTCGACAAGAGGATGAAGACCAACGAACCCATATCTTTTGGGGACGCCAATCTGCGAGGCGTGGAGACGCTCCATGATGATCTTATTATCATCACGGCAGGGATCGTCGACTACCAGGTGAAACGAATCATGATTGACACAGAAAGCTCAGTAGATATCCTGTATGTTAATGCCTTAAACAAAATGGGCATCGAGAGATCTCGCGTACTCCCCTTTTGAGGACCCCTTATCGGTTTCACCGGGCACTCTCTTTTGCCAGAAGGAATGATCACTCTCCCTCTAACAGTGGGAGAGTACCCCAGATAAGTTACCGTCCCTGTCCAATTCCTGATAATGGATCTTAAGTCGGCCCACAATATCATTCTAGGCTGAACCGTCCTCCACCTGTTGCGAGCCATTACCTCGACTTACCATCAGATGCTCAAGTTCCCGACCCTAACAAAGTCGGTGTCGTCAGGAGCAATCAACGAGAGGTCAGATCTTGCTATCAACTCTCAGCCAAGGGTAAGGGTGTGCAAGACTCCATGCTTGTCGAAAAGCCCTCCATCTGGAGAAAGCGATGGAGCTGCAGAGGACAACATTGGTGGAGGAGCTTCAGGAGATACCCATTAACTGAGAAGGATCGAAGACGGTTAAAATTGGGTCAAGCCTAATCAAACCCTTACGAGGGGCGTTGATCAAGTTCCTACAAGCGAATACTGATGTCTTTACCTGGGGACCCGAGGACATGTCGGGGGTTCCCACAAGTGATCAGTCATGAGCTAGCTGTCGACAGACATACCAAGCCAGTTCGACAGAAGAAGAGACACATCGGCCCACGCTAGAAGGCGGCAGCTGACGAGGTCAGACAACTTAGTGCCGGTTTCATCCTGGAAGTCCAATACGCGGAGTGGCTAGCTAATGTTGTCTTGGTGAAGAAAGCCACGAATAAATGGCGAATGTGCGTAGATTTCACCGACCTCAACAAAGCCTGTCCTAAGGACATTTACCCTCTACCTCGAATCGGCCAATTAGTCGACGAAAGTGCGGGCCATGGGCTGCTCAGTTTCATGGACGCTTTCTCCGTCTATAACCAGATTTTTATGGCGGAACATGATCAGGAGAATACCTCTTTCATCACCGATTTGAGCACATATTGCTATAAAATGATGCCCTTCGGTCTGAAGAACGCAGGAGCTACCTATCAGAGACTTGTTGCCAGAGCCTTTAAGCGCCAGATTGGGCAATCTGGAGGCTTATGTCGACGACTTGCTGGTGAAATCAAAACAAGCGTCTGCCAGTATTTCAGACCTGTACGAAACCTTTTCCACGCTTCGACGTTATCGAATGAAGCTCAACCCTGTTAAGTGCGCATTCGAAGTACAATCAGGGAAATTCTTAGGGTTTATGATCACCCAAAGGGGCATAGAAATCAACCCCGAGAAGATAGCCGTCATCGAGCGACTGATAGAGCCGCGCACATTAAAAGACATTCTGAAGCTGAATGATAAGATCACGACTCTAGGTCGATTCCTCTCCAAATCGGCCGAGAGGAGCCTCTCATTCTTCAAGATCCTTCAGGGTACTAAGAACTCGAAGGAGAACATGATTTGGACGACTTAATGCAGTGTAGCTTTCCAAGAGCTCAAAGCCTATCTGGGTGTTAAGCCACTGTTAAGCCAGCCCATAGGAGGAGAAACATTGTACTTATATATGGTCGTCTCCTCTAAGGCAATCAGTTTCATCTTGGTTTGGGAAGAAGAATGTTCAAAAGCCCGTCTATTATGTGAGTCGAATCCTCAAAGCGGGCGAGCTCAACTACCCTCTTATAGAGAAAGCTGCTTTTGCCCTCATTGTCACGGCAAGAAGGCTTTGTCCCTACTTCCAGTCCGATGCCGTCATTGTTAGGACGTGTTTGCATCTAATAAAAGCATTAGGCAGCCCTATAACATTAGGGAGGATGGTCACCTGGGCAGTTAAACTCAGTGAGCATGATATCCAATTCGAGCCCAGAACGACAATTAAAGCCCAAGCCTTAGCAGACTTCCTGATTGAGTCGACTTCTCCAAATGAGAATTGGATCCCCTTTTGCCATCTCACCAACCAACACCCTTAGCACTCTCAGTCGTTCCTACCATGCCAACATCTTCCCTACAAATCCGTCACATCCTGGAGCATGATTCGCCTGAGTTTGTCTCGTGGTGGTTATTGAAAACCGATGGATCTTTGGGAGAAGCTGACAATGGAGCATGAGTGGTGTTGAGAAACCCTGACGGGTTAACGCACGAACACTCCATTTCCTTTGCCTTCTTGGCCTCTAACAATAAAGTCGAATACGAAGCACTCCTCGTCGGCCTTC